CCCCAAAACCCCAAAACCCCAAAACCCCAAAACCCCATTGTTCAAAAACATTATTGACTAATTGGATATTTTAATGGCTTATGCATTGATTTTGATATCTGCTTCTTTATCTGCACTTGCCATTACTTCTTTTAGAGACTTCATCAAGATTAGATCAGTGTTAGTGTGTCTCTCGTTTAAGTCAAAGTTATGCCCACTGAAGATATTCTCACTGATACCTGTGTCAATTGATAGATATGTCCCTTCTCCATGATCTACGACGAGTTTTGAATTAGCTGATCTTCCAGAGTTGAAGAAGGGATCGCTCAAATCGAAGCAGTGTACATGGACTGTATCCTCAGAACCTCCTACAGAAGTATATCTAAATAAATGAGGAATAGGAAAGCATACCTTGTCCCAAATCCGAGCTTTTGAAGCATTTCAGATTTACTAAATGGGCCATAGGAATACATTGCACGATGGATTTGACCCCATTGGATCTCTCTAAGCTTTCCTTTCTGAGTAAACTCCTTTGCAGTGTCTCTCAAAGAGAGGTAGAACAGCTCTCCACATGAAGAAACTGTCTTGTTTTCATATCTAGTGCAGTATTTCTCTTCTTTCGTCGAGTTGTTTAGGATATCTCTGAACAGAGTCAAGCGTGAATTAGCCTCTAAAAGTTTAAGATTCGATTTACTATTAAGGATATCAATCTTGAATGTCTCATCAATGATCATTTCCTCTGGTAAGAAATTCTTCATTACTCTTCTTGTCCACACTGCATAATACGAAGGCTCGACTGAATCTATTAAAAAGTTAAGGTTTCATATAAATTCAAAATTATTCTTACCGACACCAAAATTTCCTTGCCAAGTTTTTAGCTTCTTAATGATTTCAAGCACTATCTTGTGTTCCAGTGACTTATCCTTCAGAGTTTTGATGTACTTCTCAGACATCTTTATGAGGTACTTGACATTTTTCTCTGCTACAATATCCTTAGTGTCCTTCATGACCTCCATCATATCATTTGCTGTAATTTTTCCGCTCTTTTTCTGCACTAACTCAGAAACAAGCTGGTCAATCCTTGTAGCTCTTGGTTGGAGCCCCATATAAGTTACAGCTTGTGAGTTAATGTTTAGAGAGGATGTAGGACCATTAGCAGCAACCAAATATCCTTTCTTAGGATTGATAATATATGGCCGCTGATTTGGAGGGATAGTACCAATCCATTCATTCTCTCCTGTTGAGCCTTTGGAAATATGGGTACCAAATCCTCTATTTTTCTAAAATGTAAAACTAAGAGTTTACCCTTTTAACCAAACTTCCACTCATAGTATACCCAATATTGCCTTTGTGATCAGCGTACATGATGTTCTGGGTAAATCCTTTGGGGACTATGATATCTTCCTTCTTTGTTTTAGTTTCTTTTCTCTTAACTCCCACAAGGAGCTCAGTGATTTCAAACACATCATTAGCCTTTAAAATATTTAAAAAGGTATGGAAGCTAGTATCTTCATGGGGGTCTAACCCAATCCAGGCTAAAGAGAAGTTACCTTTAGGTAACTCAGGTGGGAGTGATGTTCTGAGATTAGACAAAGCAAGGGCATAGTCATCGAGTAATGGCCCATGATGAGTTGATTTTACTTGATATTTGATTGGCTGTTTTCCTTTAATTTTAATGACCTCTTCTCTAGTTTCAAGAGGGAGCAATTTGCCTTTAAACAGATAAGAATCTCCTCTAATTTCCTCTTCATAGATATCTGAATTATCAACATGGACGGTAGTTATTCCGACTGAAATCTTATCGGTTGAGAAAGATCCATGAGCGGGAATTCCTGGAGTTGCACTTCCCACAACATAAGTACCATCTTCATATTCAATCTTACTCGCATGCCAAAACGATGGGATTCCATTTGAAAGATGAGGGTCATTTGCCAAGATTGCTTTTCTTGATTTGGTGTGCTTTCCAGATATAGCCCACGAGTTACTGCCTAAATACTTATTGCAAATATTTTTACCTTTAATATGTTGTGCATTTATACCAACATCTTTTTGTGCATTCTTCTTAAGAGATTTATAAGTGCTAGCCTTAGCTTTGCGGGAGTTGAACCCCTGTTTGGGTGCATTTTTATACCACCCAAATTCTTTAAGCTCCTCATCATTCATGGTGTAAGTTACTTCATCTGATTGTTCAGGCAAGATCGGCAAAATTTGGTTAACTAAATCTTCATCTTTTGTAACAGCTGTCAGATAGTCCCTTGTCAGCTCATAATTCCAATTGAGATTTAGTTGAAAATGCATAAACTTAAGATAAGTGCAACTGTCGATTGGTTCCCAAGGATGGAAGTCAGTCCAAATCAGATAAAATTGCAAAGGTAGGGGATTTCTTTTCACATATGCATTGATCCCATCTGCGTAAGCTTGTAAATACTCCTGATACTCTTTCTCCATATTTGAAAGGATGACTTCACAGTTGTTCACAGCGTTTAGGAGTCTCAAGCTTTTATCAAAATCAACAGGAAGTTCTCCGAACATCTCACTAAGTCTACCCTGAGAGATCATCCTGTTCATGTGTAGCTGCCACAGTCTATCGACTGCATGGGCGTATCCTAGTCCAAAAGCACCTGTTTTGCGATCTGTTGCTTTAATATGAGGAATCCCGTGCTCATCATAGTAAATTTTAACACTACCAGATAGGTGCAGCAGCTCTATTTCAGCCTGATTATGAGGACAGAAGCTTCTATAAAAGAAGGCTGCTATAACTATCAGGATAGAAATGAAGTTTAAAAGCCTTGACATGATTAAAAACGTATTGAAAATAATTTCCTTTGAGCACTTGGGGTTTTGGGGTTTTGGGGTTTTGGGGTTTTGGGGTTTTGGGGTTTT